TCCTGGCTCACTCTCCCTCATCATACCCCGCCACAAGCTGTATTTTCCTTACCCAGTCCCTTTACTATTCCTATTCTTCTCTCTCATTCATGACTGTCATACCTGGTCCCACCTCCCCAGTGTCGCCTCCCACAAGCCTGCTGACAGTCAGACACACAAAACTCAAGCAGACACGAGATACCTCCAAAGTAAACGCTCTCTGTCTTAGAGGAGGCTCCCATTTTTGACTGTCCCAGTTAATGTTTGATTTGCACTCCGTGGCAGGAGTCAGAGCAGAGCTTTCCCCGTGGGCAGCAGTAGCTCAGATCCCGCAGCTCACAGAGCATCGCTGTCAACACCTCTGCCTCTCCCCCTGACTCCCCTCTCCTGGAAGAGAGCTGGTTTTAAAACAAAGTCAGTGGAGCACAGTCAGCCCCTGGAGTTTAAAAATCTTTGAAAGGGAGGCTGTGCTGTTATGCTAAGGAACCCTGTATTTACACTGCAAAAAGCGAGGTCTGACCCCTCCTGAAGAGAGGCCTCTCCCTGCTGAACTCACCCTGGAGTGGAGCTCAGCTTTGCTGCCACGGCACTGGACTGCAATTAATGCAAACCAGCTGTGCAGCAGAACCTTTTGAAAGAGCCTGCTCGTTTTCCACCGACGTTTTAATTTGATGAATCTAAGGCACCTGAGTGGCAGCTTGCTCAGAACGTGCTCTGTCACTCCCCCTTATTTTCTGGGACTTCTTATGGATTCACTATCTGTATGCTGAGGTGTGCTCCACGTTTCTCAGGTGTAGATTGAAATTTCATCGCTATTTTCATCACCAAGTACTTAAAAAAAAAAAATCAAGCTTAAAATTAAACCTCCACTTTCTTTGCAAAATTCATGGAGGTAGAGGTAATTAATGATGCCAGATAGCTATTTATGACCTCATATTAAATTTGTAGCACACAAACTGGCACATAATTGCAAGAAATTCAGGCATCTCTTAGAAAAAAATTTGTCTAGATTATCCAGGTATCAACAAGGGTCAAAATGTTTCCAGCACAGAAAAAATATAATTAATTGATTAATTATTCAGAATTTATTTGGTCTCAGGCTAGGAAAACAATCCATAACCAATTCATTCCACAAACATAAGCAACATATATAATTAGTCCATTTTAAATCAGTGTTGCACAAAAGAAATGCTGCTTTCTTACTTATTCACTATTTGACAGCTGATCAGAAGGACTCTACAAAGAAAACAAAAGCTTAGCAGCAGCAAAGAATTTCACTGCACAGGTCTTTGGTCCCAAATTTGTTTCTGTACCAAACTCAATACTGCTTTGCAATTCCTTGGCAAAGGAAAGTTATCCCAGTTACATAACTGAATTTTCCCTTGTAACATAAAAAGTATTTTGTGGGTAGATAGATTTGGATATTTAAAAAAAAAAACAACACACCAAAAAACAAACAAACAAACAAAAAAACATACAAAAAAAAAACAAACACCAAAAAAGCAGTCCAATGTTTTCCTGCCCAGTGACAGCATCCACAGTGGTCCTTGGCCATTTTTAACTGTTGTGCAACTTCATAGTTTCATACCAGCTGTCATTTGAGCAGTAATAACTGAAGAGCAAGGCATTGTCTAGGAATTAATGACAAGCTGAGAAGAGATGGCCTGATGTGCAATAAAGGGGTAACACATGCTCATGCAACCACAGGAAATGCTCTATAAGCTGCTCTTGCACTCCCTGCACAACTGCTGGGTTTCTGTGTTAGGGAATATGCTGGCACAGCTTTCTCTTTGTGTTTTACACAGCTCACTAAATGCTAAGTTTCTTGTATTCCAAAGATTTCTCCCCCCTCAGTAACAAGCAGTCTCCTCAACTGGCAGTTAAGACATTTTGGGGCAGAACTGGAATATAATCTTTGTGCCTCCTGTTCAATTTCTATCACTGAATAATAATTTTACCAGAAGTCTGAGCAAACCACTGAACTGCTAGACGGTCAGAAATTGCAAACTTGGAGAAACACGTGCTAAAAATCACAATATACTTCTAATTTGTGTTTGGCTATTTGGTCCTGCAATTGTAAACCACTTACATGAGGACTGATTAAGAAATGGTACAGACCTTGAAGCAACTTTTTTTTTTTTTACCAGCATTACAGATTTATGGCTTTGAGGACAGGAATTTCATGCAAGCTGTTACCTCCTCTTGAGATTTGTGACTCTAAACCCAGACTGGCCACATGCATATTTCAAATATCTTCATTATGAAACAAATAATATTTTTTAAAATAAATACTGACATGAAACAACACTTTACACAGCACTGGTTAAAAAAAAAAGGGGGAGAAAAAGTCACTTTCAGAGCAAATAAGTGAATACAAGATTTCAGTCCCAATGTTAACTGAAGTTTGATGATATACTATTATATCCATTGTTACATGGTGATTAAAATCATTATTTCAATCTACATTACCTTTGCAATATAGTTTCCTGTCATTTTTATGAGCAATGGAACTTGCCAATCTCATCTGTTATATTTATATACATGTTTGACACATTGCACTAGCTATTTGGCTTACACACTCTTCCACATTTAATTTATTTTCATGCTATGGAAGCACGAAAATACATTTCCCCTTCTGACTGGCTGTAAAATAGTTCTTTTTCTTTACCACTTAATGACCAAAAGAATGTTCTATGCTTGTCTTGCTTTTCAGTGGATCCTGTTCTCACTCAAGAACCAGGATATAATTGGAGCTCAAGGTGAAAAGCTGAATGCTACCCCCCTCTCCACCTGCATCACCTGTGTTTGTAATGCAAACAACAGCCCTTAAGAGGGAGCAGAATTTGGCTTCAGAAGCACCAGCTCACTGAGCACAGCCAGCAGGGAGGCGAAGGCTGGTGCCAAGCAAACATGAGAGGGCACAAACCAGCACCAACGATGTGGGCATCTGCTGAAGGACAGGATTTGTCCTAGAGCCCTGTGAGACAAAGCTCTGTCACCCAAGAGGCCAATTACTCCTTGGTGATGATTTTAACACCCCTACAGTGGGGACTGACCTGTTGCTGGACCATGTAACTCATAACTGAGGGGACAGTGAGGAGGGATCACTCGGGCTGCATGACCTGACCACCTGCACCCACCTGCAGACGAGTTCACTGCACTGCTCTGGGAGCTGCTCCTCCACAGAGGCAAACAAAACAAGGTTATTTCACTTATGCACTTGTGCTATTACCACCTTACAACACTTGCAGAGAACAGCTTAAGAAAAGGGTTTTTTTTCCTTGCACTTTAAAACACAACTCTGAGCAGCACCCATTGCTGGAGATACCGCTCCTTGCTGGTCCCCTACACATCACCCTCTTCATGATCTTTCCTCATGATGCAACAAACATTTTGTCCTTGAAGTGAGGGTTAAGAGCTTCACTCAAAGCCCCCTGAAACTGGTTTTATAAAAATATGCTAATAATGCCAAGGCTGCAGGTTCTCTCCCACCCTGGGCTGTTTGCTTAAGAGCTGGAGTTGAGAATCCTGGTGAGCCCCTTCCCACAGAATATTCTGTGATCCAAGATCAAGTGTATCAATAAAAATTTGCCCTTTTCAGCTGGTTCAGCCCATCACCAGCAACAGGGCGACCAAAAGGACTGATGTGAACTTGGCAGAAGTCTCGGTGGTCCTGGAGGTGGCTGGCAGGGAGAGCTGGGAGCGATCACCTCCCCACCCCCCAGTGCTGTGCGTGGGAAAGCACTGAGCCCACATTCCTCGGCAGCACTCAGCACAGGAAGGCTCCTGGCTTCTCACTCAAACCTTTCACTAGCACTCAGCAAGGTAAATAAACCATATGGTCAGGGGGCTTCAGACTGTTCCTCTCAGGAGCAAGGAGAAGAAGGGTGGAAATACTTGTTTACAGGAAGACACATTTGCTCCTGCCCCCTGTGCCTTGCAGTGAGCACCTGCCACTTGCAGAAACTGTTTTCCTCTGTTTTCTTTTGCATTAAAGGCTTAGTGAAGTGGCTGAAATGATCTTCCTGGGATAAATATCTGAGAAGAAGTGACTTCACCAAATACCAAAGCATCGCCGTAGGGAACAGTCAGGCTCATCCACATCATTCTCAGCATGTTTTGGTACAGCACGTGGTTGTGTCACTGTTGTTTTCAAGTGTAACATTTTCAAGTGCTGATGCACAAAATTTGCTGGTCTAAACATCCTGATTGAACAAAGGGGTCATCTTAAAAACTTCAGTCCCAAGGAAATCAAGACTCTGCCTTCTCAAACAGCTCAGTAAGCTACGAGAGAGCACATATGGGACAGGTGAAACCTGCAGGAGTCACTGCGACAAAAAAACCCAAACCCACAGGCTACCTTTCTGATTTCTTTTTGTGCCACATTCAACCCAGAGGTCTCCAGCATGTGCCATGAGGTATTTCCAACCCTTGGAAAATCTCTAAAGGGGAGGACAAAGGCAAGGGAGAGGTTTATCCTTGTGCATTCACCTTCCTCCAGTGGAGTCACTCGAGGGTTTTTTTAGTATCAAGGTATCAGCTTCTTAAAAAAGAATTAGTAGAGAGAGTATACAGCAGTTTAACCACAGAGCAGCTTGTTCAGGTCAGCACAAGGCAGAAAGAAGCATTACACTGACAGGATTGTTGGCATGAAGTGTAAAGCCACCTTTTTGTTTTGCTTCCTCTCAGAATGCAGGAATTCACACTAACACAACAATCCCAGGTATGCAGTCACAGAACTAATTACAAAAAAAAAAAAGAAAATGCCATTTCTGCAGAAAGACAAAGCTTATATTGACCTTATGTGAAATTCTGCTAGGGTAAACTGGTGTTAATCCAGTCCCTCAGCCAGAAATCAATGCCTTGATGAGCAAAACAGATCTACCACAGACTCACCTCCTTCCCTGTGCTGACTGCCTACAGCTTTCCAGAGTAATTTCAGATGGAGAATGGGTCCAGCGTGGGGGTGTGAGATTCTGAGCACTCCCAGCTCATCCTGCCAGCCCCTGAGCTGTACTCACCGTGCATCTGGTACGTGTAGGGGGCCTGTCCCGCCGTCGGGGCACTGAAACTGGATCCATAGCTGAGAAAGCCGCTCTGTCCCGGGGAATGGCTCAGGCTGTCCTCTGTTTTAATGCCTTTGGGGTGTGCAGTGGGAACCAAGAGCAGAACGTGAGTGTTTGCCACAGAAAGGTGCAGAAAAAGCAAAGTTTAGCAATTAACAATTTTCCAGCTACATTTTAACTGATTAAACTCTTTCTTTTATATATTTATGTTTAAATACATGTGTATTTAATTACATGCATTACCCTAACAGGTCTCCTAAATAACAGTCAAACAAACAAATAACAAAGAATATTTGAGTCAGCTACGTCCTGTACCCATACCTGAATGCACTTCTCCTAAGGTAGGTAAACAACCGTGAAGAATATTGTTTTCCAGAACAATTTCTGAACAAATAGTTTGGTTTTAGAATCAAACAAACTCAGTGACTCATGAACTTTCTGAACAGTTATCAGATGCAAGCAAAGATTAATGAAGCAACAGGACCTTCAGCGAAATAACCTCAAGACTTCTGTTCTCCACAGAGTTATTTTTTTACTTGCATTGTATTTTCAGCTTTGATATCAAAACATTTATTGCAAGTCATACAGGAGGGTTATCACTTATTCAGTTAGATATAACATACAGTTCAGGAGCAATAGGTAAGCCCTGAAGCCACGAAAATCTTTTAATTTCTAAACCCAGGCAATTAAACTGACAATTTACAGGGGGAGACAGCAATAGCTGAATTAAACATTGCAAGATGAAACCCTGGCTGGTAATGAAAGGGGCTGATATTTTATTCTGAGATGCTGCTGAGGCTGTACAGCTGTATTATTAAAATAAACAGCTCAAAGGTGCATCTTATTACGAACCCTTTGGGCGTGATCCTTCCCTCCTTTGCATGTCTATTTGCACACAACAAAAAATGGCCACTGGACACTCCCCAAGTGATGGGATCAAACAAAGACCCTGTTGATGTTTGGGGCTTGGATTTACACACTTCCCAGGCTGCTGTCATCTTTCAGCAAAAGGCAAGTGGAATTCAGGTGCCTTTCCCCAAATCTGCTGTTTTCCAGCCGAACGACTCCTAAAAGCACCAAGTCTGAGCTTGCTCAGGTTTGGAATAAGTTCTCCCAGATCCTGTTTTCTCTAATAAAAATCACTTATTTTAGCCCTAGGTGAGAAGAGCTGTGATGCAATTTGAGCCCAAGCTAGCCAGAAGATGATGATGCTGCACAGTGAAGGGCAGGACGTTTATTTGGACGGTGTTGGTCCAAAATTCTGGCTGCATCGCTGCTGGGGAAGCAAAGTGTGCACAGAGAAGCCACTTCTCCCTCACATCCCATGCTTTTCAATTCCATCAGCACTCTGCATGCCAGCATTCCACCTACCCCGGTTACAATTCATCTTCAGCCAACGGGCCTTTTTGGAAGCCTAAAAATTGTTGTCAGACAGCGAAATAACTTAGCACCAAATTAATTTCCACACAATGTTCTGTTTTGTCTAGAAACTGGCCCGGTTTTATTTTTGTGCCTAAAAACAATACTGCTTCATTGTTCTTGGTTGCCAGCCAGGTGGAGTTTTTCATGGGCTGTGCTGAGTATCTCAGAGAGGGTGTAGGGGCTGGGGGAGGGAAACCACTGCTCAAGGATGCTAAGAGGTCATCCACAGGATTTATAAGCAGCATATGGGCCTGACACATGTATGCCCTAAAGCCTCTAGGCAGTAGCAAATGGCTCTACTTTCACCTGCTCTAACAGGACAACTGTTCAGAGTTTGCCTTGGAAATCAGCCAGCTGATGCAGACACACAAGTAGCTCCAGGAGAGGGTCTCAAAACATTCCTCTCATCATCCTGGTAGAGCTCCAGCTCTGCCAAGCTCACTTCCCTGATCTTCCAGACTGCTGCACTGAACTCCCCTTCAGTAAAAGCCTTGTCAATGGCTGTACAAGAGCTTCTTGTTGGGAAGAGATATTTGCCAAATAAACTAAGGTGTTTAAGAGCACAAAAGAGCTGCACCTAAACAAGAGCAACATCTCTTTGGTCCTTAGGAATGGAAAGAACTTCTCAGCTCCCTCAAGAGCTTGAGGACACTGCTGATGCTCGGTTTACCAGGCATTCCTCTGTCAGGAGTGCTGGTTTAATTAGTTCCCTGTGTGAATCCCCAGCTGCTCCTGCCCAGCACTGTCTCCCCACAGCTGCTGGCAAGGCTGTGCAGAAAAGCAGGGAACAAAGCTGACTGGGGTTAGAAACATTTACTGCACCTACAGCTCATGACTGTCCATTTAAACACAAACCACCTTCCAAAACCAAAGTACGCTGTATCTCCTCACCCATGTCCTGTTCTGCTCTGTGTCTTGGTTCTTCTGTAATAATGTACAGGAAGTTTTTCTTAAAGTAGCTTGTACCATTGAGACTTCAGGAAGAATCAAGGAAAGCAAAGTGTAGTTTACATAAATATCATATTTACTGCAAGAGACTTTGCCTTGGCAGTGAGTCATGGGAACATTCACCAGCTACTACTCCTAAGTGGCACATCCCACTGAACCTGAGCTTCTCATACCCTACCACTGACTGGCCCCACACTTTACCTAGTTTGTAAAAACACAGTCCACGATACAAAGAGCTGATGGGTAAAGTTCAGAGTAAATCCAACATTCTTAAACAACTCAGATTCTCCCCTGAGCCCAAAGGGAGAACGTTGCTGCACCACAAACGGCATTTCACCTGTAAAGCCTGAACCTTCAAATACACTTTGCTGGCAGCAAGAGCACCACGTCCCTCAAAGCTACCACAGCATGGGAGTACTCACTGTAGGAGGGTATTCCATAGGGCTGCCCTGGAGGAGGATAGGCAGTGTAGGCAGCAGCCTGCTGGATTCCCGTGCTGTACTGAGCCTGTCCGTACGCTGCCATTGCTGGGAAGGATGGGACGGTCACTATATGGGGATAATGTCTATTCAGAACAAGAAAACAGAGGGTCTCAGGCAATAGTTACAGCACATGATCTTCCAGAGCACAAGTGGAACACTTCTAGACATCTTGATAACATCCAAAGTACCACGATGATGATTCGGGGAACTTGGAATTGTCTAGACTGGTGCAAAAGGCTGTTTCAGTGTGTGGCTCCTGTTTTGAGCCATCAAAATAAGCTGCCTACAGGGATGGGGATTTTAAGACCGTGCAAAATATATGCAAGTTAAAAAAATAAAATAAAATAAAATCAACACTGCTTTTTCATGTTTTGAGTTTGCCAAACAAGCGAGTGTGACTGGAAGTCTCTGACATTTCAACATATCCCCCTGTGGCCACTCATAAACACAACAATACTCAAACTGATAAGGTTTGGGTTCCCAGGGGCATGAAAATACAGTGCACAGTACCTCAAACCTTATTTCACTCCACATCTAAGAAGATTAAGAAGCAGTTACTTCCCCGTGCCAGAGACGTGGGGGGGAACAGGTGGATGGGCTTAGGGCAGATGTTTTTTAAGGTGACAGAAATCTGCACAGAATGGCTGTTCAGCAGAACACGGTTTTTAAATCACAGCACTTGGCACGAGCACTCACTTTGTGGTGTACAGATGGAGAGGACACTGTGGTGCTGCTTTGCTGCTGCCTGGAAAACAAAAATTGAAGGGTCTTAGATTTTCATCACGTCCTGTTCTATGGCCAAGCTGAGACAACTGTTTTTACCACTGCTGGTTTGAGAAAAATACACAGGGATTAGGATTAGACTTTGTTTCTAGTGAATCTCCCCAAACTGAGGTGTTAGAAAGCTATTCTCCACTTAACAACAAATAAAGGTTTAGTTTTAAACTGAGGGTGATACCAATTGATTGAACTACCAGTTTCTTCTTCTCACGGGACTGGTATCAATCATGAGGCTGGGCTTTAGAGGGATGACTCATATGCTCAAGGCTATAAAACCAACTACTACGATGGCTGAAGTGATTTAAGCTCACTGCACTTTTTGCTCTTTTGCTTTTTTTGGTACTTTCCTAGACCATGACTCACTTTCCCTAAAGCTCATTAAAACATATCAAATCAAAATAAAAATACTAAAAAATACAACACTGTAAATCTCCTTAATTTGAATCTTTTGAGTTAACTATAGCCTACCTTATTGACCTGCCAGCAATCAAAAAAAAACCAGGAGAAAACCTATCACACAAGTTAGATGTGCAGGATGCCTTCCAATGGACCGAACAGTCGAGTCCTGTAACACTGCCAAATAAAAATGTTCCACCAGCTTTATTTAGGGATAAATTCAGGTTTACTTCATTGAAAACAAGAACAAAAAAAGAGTCTAAATTAAAACCTGCAAGTTGTACTGAAAACACCACACCAAAATGCCACCTGGAGTATTATGCAGGTTGCCTCCACAGTGCCATCCCAATTTTGCTCCTCAGTTCCTGGCTGGAGCTGTTAGTTGTTACTGCAGTGCTAGAAATGCCAAAACACTCTCAACAATCATCAGTAACGACATCATGATTCTGTGATTCCCAGCTGCAGGTGCCCAGGCTGGGTGGAAAGGGAGATTCCTGCAGTGCCCCCCGTGCCCGGACATCGCTGCTGCCAGGCAGGGCTGCCCCTCCCATGTGGGACAGGGACGTTCCCACAGAGCTGCAGATGGATTTGCACCTTCAGCACAGACCTGTACAGACCTTCATTTGCTCAGCCACTGGTGAACTCAATATTTAAACTGTATTTTTTTTTTTTTGTATTTTTCACAACATTTTCCATGGTTTGATTATTTTTCATTATAACATAGAGGTTACACCAAACTGCTTTTAAAAACTCTGCCATTTTATCTGATACTTTTTTAGACTGAGTTTCAATAAAAAATGCATCATCATGAGCTTGAACTGAAAATATGAATTACTGGACACTGTTCTTTTTTTGAATGTTAATTTATATAATTAACCATAAAACCTATATAGCCCTAACCACTGACAGAAACAAAACCATAAAGACTCCTCGTTCTTAAAACTCACTGGCACATTAGAAAAGCAAAACTCACTCCCCTATAAAATGTGTTGCAGTAACCTATTTCCCAAGCAACAGGCAGAGAGCTTTAGTTTAAAAAAACTGACAAAGGATATGGTATACAAAGGCATATATTCACTTAAACATACACAGAAAAGATAGGTTTTAAATCCAAAATTGGGCTTACCTGACTCCCCTTCAAATTCCCTATGAAAAATTTGCTTTGACTTACCTGAAAGAAAACAATTTAGAAAATTAGATTTTTAGACTGTGAAAACAAGAGCTACACAATTTCTGTCTGTCCCTCATATACCAAAATTACCAGGACTGCACTGAAGAAACAGACATTACAGAATTCATTCCTTTAATTCACAATGCACTGACAAAGAGCAGAACAGGCAGTTTGTGCATAAGCTTAATTTCTTTTCTATTTGAAAAAGACTACAGCTTCAATACTTTTTATTTCTGAAAGACTAAGTACAGAGTAAATAAGTTTTGCCAAGAATGCCAAGTAGGAATTTACTGCGTGTGAACATGCAACATGTTACTGCCATCGACAAGAAAAGGCAAAGTTAATCCTACAGGCAAAACGTGAACTTAAAACATTTTTACAGTATAACTGCACATCTCATGATAAACACCCATGAAAATAGCAGGCCATGCAGCTACATGGAGATTTAAGTGAGTAAGTGCTACGACTAGACTTGCTAAATTTAAAAATGCATGTGAAATACAGAGCATACATTTGTGGGCATTTACTGCCTTAAGAGCTCTGTCAGTCTGAGACTCTTTCCAATTAACAAGAAGTTATTTTCAAGGGAAAGAGCACAGTCTTGGTAGCACAAGGGATCATCCTGCAGCAAAACGACCATCATGTTTCTATAAGAAACACACCAGCAGGAGCTGTCACTGGCAAACTGGTGTCCAACAGCACAACCGCTGTGTCAGCTCTCATTTCTATCACAGTATAAAAAAACAGTTCCTGCACCAAGATGTTTACAAAATGATGTACTGAAAAATCATTTCTAGCTCTGATCTCTTCTACAAACAGGTACATTTAAAAGGATGTTTTCTTTAGGCTGTTATTCCTTCTCCTGCTCTTGTAAACAGGTGGTCACCAGGTACGTGATTTAATCACGCCACTCCTGATGCCTCAGCAAACACGCAAACAAAACATCTCCTGGGCTTCTAAGAGCTTATAAATGAAGGGTTAAGCACACTACTAAAACATAATAGCCAGTGCCTTTTCCTAACTCCCCTCTAACAGGAAGGCTGACAGATCCTGACCGCAGCAAACAATAGCTGGGATTGTACTAGCAAGAACTAGTTCAGCTGCATCACTTGCCAATAATTTTTTTAGCAGATTTAACATTCTTCTATTTCCTTCACTTGAACAGTGTGATGGGGCGGGGGGGTGGAGGAGGAGGAGAGCAGATAAATTTCCATCAGAGCCTCAGCCACCGAAAGAATTTGTCCTTGGTACCTGCCAAATGTGAAACTCCAGAGCAGGGCTAACCTTCTGGAGATGGCAGGAATGACCTTGGAATCTCAGAGCGATGCAAACTGGGCCACAGAGCTGCTTTGGAAAGATGTTTTCTGGCTGCTTGGTACGTTGCTGGGCCTGGCAGCCCCCACACTCCCCACCCCAACAGCAGCAGCAGCACAGACACCAAAAGCCCAGGGCTCACGTTCACTCCACTGGGTCCAAACAGAAACCACCAGGTCTGCACAAAATAGGTTTTACACCTGCAGTTTTACCAGTGGAACAGACACATACAACATGCACATGTGTACATGCAGGCACTGACTATCCAGAGACATGTATCTACACATGAGATATTTCTATTCCATTGGCATTCAAACCATTGCAGAACTAAAGGATTCATCCACTGCTGGAGTGTCTACAAAAAACACCCAAAATCTCAGTTGCTCATTATACTGTAGAACTAATTGTCAAAAGAAGGGGCCTTGCAGTGGCCAGTCCCCTTTGATTATACATATATATATATATATGTTATGTTATAGCCAGTAAACATCAAGCAGAAGAGCAGCCTACCTTCTATGTCATCTGGAGCCGTGGCATAAATGTGAGAAAGGTTAAGCTTCAGTCTGTCAGGGCACTCTCTATTTACAGTCAGACTGGGTGATATCACTAGATCTAGCATTTCCTTATACCTGAAGGAAAACAAAGGAAAAATACAATTTATTCATTAATTATGAATGCTTACTAATGATTCAATTTTTTTTTTCCCTAAGAGTATAAATATTAAAGCTGATTACCTAAACCCAGGCTTCATATAAATTCCACATAATAACATTCACTAAAGTTTTTCATCAAAGGGAAATGCTGAATTAAAATGCAGTACTTGCTTCCTTGGAGATTACACCCATCTGATTAATGCTTTCCCTTTCTTCCTGGATTTTGCCATACAAAACCTAAATTCCTGATTTGTCATATGCCATCAAAGCAAGAATGTTCACACCAGTGTCCAGTGAGGCTCTAGAAAACACTACTACAGGTTGAAAATTAAGCTGAGGGCAGTGAGCACCATTATCTAAACCTTTTAAGATAATAAAAAGTTAGTACTGGTGACAGGATCAGTTTTCCAGGGGACACCCAAACCAGGCACCCAATTACAGTGTCCTGGCCATTAGGTGGCAGTGACACAAGGACAGTCCCTTTCACAGAAACAACCTCAAAAACTTCAAATTAACAATGTACCTTCAGTCTCCAGAGAAAAACATACATGTTTACGTGTGCTCTAATAGAAGCTTAGAACCTCTGCATTACACAAACAGCCCAGAAAAGAGAATTAAATCATCATTTCAGACTCCCTGCACAGCATCAGTAGGTCTGTTCATGTTTTCAGTGCTCCTTCAGGAGCTGGACCAAACAGGCAGCAGGTGGCACAGCAACAGCAGGCCATGGTAACAACCCCCAGCACAGCTAAAACGTGGTGGAGCTAAAGACAACAGCACATAAACCTGAACTCTTGACGGCTGGGCTCCTGCAATACTAATCTGTGCAGTTCTGGGAGAAGCCAGGAGGTTTGTTTCGATTTTCTGTTTAAATACCACCCTATGGCTTTACCAGTTTTGAGAAAGAGCAGACAACAAACCCCATAATTTTTATCTGCACCCCCTCCCCAATCACTTTCACAAAGCCTGCAAGTCCCTGTGAGGGAGGGTGAGGATTGTCACCAACAGGCACAAGCCACATTAAGTATTTCACCTGTAACCAAACAGCAAACACCAAAGCTGAGCTCATTTTCACCTTCCCACCTAACAGCTGGGAAGGCACTCTGCCCAGGCAGAACGTGCATGAATCCTCTGTGCATTGGCAGAACTGCCAAAAATGGGTATGAAGAGGCATAACCACGTGCAATGTCCTTTCTCCAGGTGGGATCTGGTGTGAATTCTCCCTTGGAAATCCACGTGGGCATATGCACCTTCATGACCAACACAGCCTCAAGTCCAGGGGCTGGCAAAGGCTTCCTGAGCCAGGGAGACCTTAAGTCAGCAGGGAATGACCAGTGCAGTAGAAATACAGTGCTCTGAACCCAACACTTGTGAGATCCATCTGCTGTGTGCTACGGATTTTCTAAGGAAACAAGACCAGCATGAAAAGCAGGGCTGCTTTGCAGCTGCATCTTCGTTGCTAGTGGTTCTCAAAGGGTTCCACCTTCAGATGTGTCCCTGTAAGGGGAGCACAACTGACTCCCCCTCCCTGCCTTAGACACAAGGCTGAAAATGCAGGAGCACAGGGGCCACCAACTGTGCCCACAATGAGTGTCCATGCCACCAACTGCATGGAAATGCAACAAAGAGTCGCACGCACACAAGGACACAAAAAAAAGTCCCTGGGGGTAAAAAAAATCCTACCTGAGTGAGACAGTCCAATGACAGGGCCAAAACTCCTCACCTAACCCCAAATAAAACACAGTTAATGAGACACTTGGCTCAGTCCTCACAGCACTGGGGGAAGCTATGCTCGCTTTTTCTCCTGACATGGCTCAGGAGAAACATCTCACTCTTCTGCTGGCACAACCAGGCTGCTGCAAAGGGCTCAGGAAGACTTTTGTGGTGCTTCTCAGTGGGGTAGAACAAGGTCTTTCCTACAGAGCTATGGCTCTTAAGATTCTCTGAACAACAGGACAGGGGCTTTTTTCCCAGAAGAATTGCTTTATTCAAAACCACTGGCACCAGCTGAGAAGGCAGGGCTCAGTTTTGCACCAGCTTTTCCCTTCCACTGTGTGCAAAGCCCATTTCTCTTCCCCTTATTACCTTAATGCTCTACCTGACCTGAGGAAAAGCACTGCTGTCCCAGATCCTGCCAAGCTGGGGATGTTCTGCATTGTTCCTCAGATAACACATGCCCTTCAGCATAATCCCAAACCCCATCATTCATGACACTGCCCAGGCTGTTGCCAAGCGAACAGGAGCAGATGTTTAAAGGGAAACGATCTTTTTACAATGATTAATGCTCTTTAATTACATCATTGTTCAGAGATTTCATTAGCCACTCTCCGACTGATGATTTTTCTGCTGGTTTTGTTCTGTTCACTTTTGTGTTCACAAAGTCACATTTTCCTGTTATTTGTTCTACAACATTTCCCTGTTTTTTCTTTAGAGTATGTACTAGTTGCATGTACAAACAGGTAAGTTGTCACAGGACTGCCTGTCTGGTTGTGCCTGTCACGTCTGTGTGCTGTCAGTGGCTTTGCACGCACCATTTACTGATTTATTCATGTGCATTTCTCACTTATGAGAAACTCTTGACAAGAGTTTCTGAAATTCCAGTTTTAACGATGGCAAGCCACAGAAAATAGTCAAGTAATGGAACAGGGCTGGTATTTAACACAGTAAATGACATGCTGGAGTGCAACTGATGAAAATATCAGAGCTTTGTTTGCTTTTTAGAGCAAAAACATTTTCTGGCTTAAGTAATGTACAGTAAATCAGTAATAAAATTTGCTGAATATGAGCTTTTATTAAAATCAGTGATGGCAGCATCTAGCATGCAGGGCTGACAGACATCTGGAAGAGCTTTTGGCTTCTATAATTAAGAAGAACTTTGTGTGAATTTGGTGCTCAGCTTTTCCATTAGAATCCCCTACTCAAAACCCAATGTTTTGCCCTGAAAGTTGACCCACAAAATCTCTGCCAAGAACAGAAACTTCTTTAAGATTTAGGAAGGAAAAAAATAGAACCAAAACTATTTTTCAGCCATTATGAAGCTAGGAATCCCAATGTAAGTGTTCAAATTTTCAACTGAGGTGTTGGGGCAACCTACAGATCACATATTCTCTTACAACGATGTTTTTAAGGCAGTGATTCTGCACCCCAACTCAAGACACCCAAATGTGTGCTGAAGATCAAACCACTGAGCATCATCTGGGGACCACAGGCATTTCCATCCCCACTGAGGACTCAGCTGACTTGTTCCTGGGGGTCTGCACTTTTCACCTGTCTCGACTCCATGTCTGGGGTGAGAAGTCAGAATTTTGGCTTTGACACGTACATGAAGTGGAACAAATGTTCACAGCAGAATTTCCAGGGCATTTGCAGTAAATAAGACACCTGGGTAGGATGTAGTACCAGGGTAAACTCAGTGGCCAAGCAATGAAGAGGTTTCAGAGGGAATACGAGCAGGGAAGAGCGGAACATCTGCCCCACACTGACAGCAATCTGCAGCAGGGCATCTGAGCAACAGGAGGTCGATGGTACAGTTCATAAAGGATATTCAGGAGTAAAAGACAGTATGGGGGGAGGAAAAAGCTGGCATGGGTATGAGAGGAAAAAAAGAGAGTGAGCTCTACATCTGCTATCAGTGGAGGAACCGATGAGCTGGGAGCCCTGCAGGTGAGAAACGAAGACAGAACTCCTCCCTCCCCTTGGGAAAAACCTACAGTGGGAAATACAAGCACTTTAAGGGAGTGACAAATTGCAAAAAAAAGTTTGCCCACGAGGGGAGAGGTAAATCCAGAAATGACTCTCCCCGCAACAACGCCACGCAATGATCTTCCCAAGAATTTTTACTTGTGTCTGGCTGGGGGCCAAATGCAAGCTCAAACCACTAGATCTTCCCAAACATGTGTGTGTGCCAACACAGAGCCCGAGGCAGGAGTGCTACAAGCCAAGTCCTCTGCTTGTAGCTTTGCCTTCAAGGGGAGGAGGAGAGACAGAGCTTGCAGCCTAATTGCAAGAGTAGCATTTTCGTCCTGCTTCCATGGCTTTATCTGGTTTTAATTACTTGATCAACTACTTTCATCTCCTCAAAAAATGGTGCAGATGACTACACAGTACTTTATGACTCCAGTGGTACTCACCATGAAAAAGAAGACAGTCTGATTCCCCACTTCACATCAGAAGCAAATCCCATGCAAAAAGCCATGAAGATGGCTTTCTCAATCTCTGATTCAAAGAAAACAAACAAACAAACCCTATCTCCATCCTAAAAAGTTTGTTTCTTCGTTCCTAGGAAATACAAGATCAGTTGTAATTTTTTTCCCCATACAGGTAAGATTTTCAAAAGCACCTGCTATGCCTCATCCATTTTCACTGGGAATTAAGGCTTCTACTATTTTAGCTCCATGGGAAGCTTTGTAGCTTAGACAGCTTTGCCAGGACTAATTGGTTGCAAAATTATCTTCCCTATTTTGCTTTGCTCCTGTACAAAAAAAAAAAGGAATCATTCCTAAGCAAGGAAAACCCTATTATCTTGCAGCCACCTTCCATATGGTATAACCATAGGGAATCTCCCATAGTGAAGATTTTGGCTACTTCCCTCCACACATTTCAGAAGCACTTTCATTTCCTCTGTCAGTACATTCCTCCTCACGCAGTTTGGACTGCTTTTCTCTCCACCTATAATAGATCCTTTGTTCCTTCCACTTCAGGAACTCAAGAACGCTTCAGCAGGTGAAAACCACGACGCTCTTCCCTCTCCCAGAACGAGCCTCAGTTCCCCCACGAGCACATCTGAGAGAGCTGTGCAGGAAAAGGCCTGAACAGGCACAAAGTTAAACCTGAGCTGGCATAAGTGCTCGTGTCCAAGACTGACAGCACAGCCCTGATGACAAGATATCCTCTCAAGGTGACCTGCAGGGCACCGTGCCTCGGGCTGTTTATACTCCCGAGAGCTGCCTTTTGCTGATGTCACTGGACAATAAAAG